ATGAACAATCAAACACATGGGAAAACTAGGTCAGGGCAGGCACATGGAGAGGGAAAATCACACAGATAGAGTCCAGGGGCGTGACATATCGCCCCCTAGAACAGAACTACTCGGGAGGAGGACGGACACCCGGGAGGGGGCCGGCATGGAGGGAGGAGCCATGGAGGAGGAATGGCCGCCGCCTCCAGGGGGCTGACCAACGACGGCGGAGCAGGTGGTGGAGGAGCCCGAGGCGGAGACGGAGAGCCAGGGCGATGGGGAGGATCCGGAGGTCCTAGGAGCAGATGGCGCCGGCGACCGACACGGCCTCTGGCTCCGCGGCGATCCTCAGCTCTGTCGCTCGCTCTAGCGATGGCTCGTCGGTCGCGGCGGGCGATGGCTCTCCGTCAGCGGTGGGCTCGGGCATGCGCTCCCCGCATCGGGGAGATGGTGAGCTGGGCTCTGGGTCGGGAGTGGCAATGACGATTAACTCCTGGGAACCGGCGGGCAACGGAGATCCATTTCTCGCCAGTGTCCACTCCACAAAGGCAGCGAATTCAGCTCGAGGCGCTCTGCACGCGGTGTTGAGGCTGGCGTCATAGAATAGCGCATCGTCCGGATAGGTGGTGAGATGGGCCACAGTCAGAAACAGTCTGGTATGACCCTCGAGCAAATTTTGATGAATTCGAGCCACAGCCAGAAACAGTCTGGTATGACCCTCGAGCGAATTTTCCCCCTGCTCCAGCAGGAGGAGGATGAATTCGGGGCGAAGGAGGGGATCCATAGGGCACACAACGGAAACAAAAAACTGAGTAAAAAGAGAAACAAAACGAAGGGTACAAACGGAGGTAACTGTATGGGTCGGGTCTTCTGTCACAATTCACTCGGGGAGCAAGGAACGAGGAGTACTTGAATAACACAGTCTTTAAAAATCCACAGGAAAACCGAGAACAAGGAGGACATTCAACAAGTAGACCCGACGAACAAGAACTCAAAGGACTAGGGCTTTTAAAGGCAAGATAATTGGGGAGGAACGAGACACACCTGGAATCAAATTAGCACAATCAACATGAGGAAGAAACTGGGTCACAGGGGCAAAAACACACACAGAATAGTCCATAATCCTGACACTGTGTCATCAGCAAATTGACTAATTCGATATTCATAATCAGCAATGGTTATTCCTTTTAACTGAGGATGGTTGACAACAAAGCTAACATTTGAGTGCATAATATAAACAGTTTTGGAGAGATTGGACATCCTTGTCTAATTCCACACAAAATTTCAATTCTAGGAGTCATACCTGTATTAAAGCCTTGCAAAACCCTTCCCCAAAACCAAACATTCTAAGCGTCGTCAGTATAAATTCATGCTTGACTATATTGAATGCTTTTTTTTTTAAAAATCTATAAATAAAATAAGTCTTTCTGATTGTATCAGTGATTGATAGTCAATCATATCCAGGATTAGTCTAATATGGTTTTGAATATATCTTCCTTTAATGAATGCTGATTTATACTCCTCTACAAGTTTCCAAATACATGTTTAAGACTATTAGCATACACCAGGGCAAGTAATTTATAATCTGCATATAATAGAGTTATTGGTCTCCAATTATCTAATAATAGCAATTGTTTTTTGGGTTTAGGTAACAAGGCTATTAATCCTGTTTTCATAGTAGGTGATAACCTTCCTTCCTTCCGTTATTCATTTGTTTTAAAGCTACATCCATTTCCTCTAAAGTCAACTCATCATCAATTAATAATTTGTCTTCCTCCTTCAGTTTATGTATTTTATCTCTTATATTTACAAATAAAGAATCACAATCAGCTTTTTTTATAATTGGACTTATAAAGGTTAGTATAGAAAAGCAAAATTTTTATTTTGAATTACTTTTTGATCATCTGTTATAATTTCATTAATCTTAAACTTACTGTTTTTTTTTTCTTTGTTTTTCTTTGTTATTCAAGGCCGAAAAAATATGATGAACTTTTTTCTCCTTTTTCAATCCACCGCGCTCTTGATCGAATATAAGCTCCATTTGCTTTTTCTGAATACAACTCATCTAGTTGAGATTGCAGTGACTGTAATGTTGCTGAATTTACAGTTCCTTTTGTTTCTGTTTTCTCCTCACTGATAAAAATTTGCCTATATCAATTACTATTTGTTTAACCTTAAATTTAAACCATTCCCATTTATTTAAGTTAGACATATCTAGCTTTTCAATCTCTTCAATGACAGCCAACACCTGTTGACAAAATCTATCATTCTTTAACAAGTCATTATTAAACTTCCAAACATCAGGAGAAATGTGAGGTTTCTTAAAGACTGATAAGGACAGAGTAACCATACAGTGATCTGTAAGTGGGGCAGCTGTAATTTTACATTCCGAGACAATTTTACATAGTTCACAAGAAATAAGCCAATAATCTAATCTCGAACATTTTCCATTTCCTAAGGGGTTAAACCATGTATGCTGAATACGTTTGGCTTAGATACCCTCCAGTAATCTACTACATTTACAGTTTTACAGAAATTCAATATAGTATCATTATAGACAGAATGTGAACCTCTTTGAGGTCTCCTGTCTAGCCATAAATCAGGGACTATATTAAAGTCACCCCCTATTATCACATTTTCTGCATTATACTTTTTTTTCCATTCATTTACCAATTTACCAAGTTTCTCAAACATTTCTCTATTAGCCAATTTGTTATTATAGCCTACCATCTGCATAAACCAAAACCTGAAACAAATTTAGTGATGGAATATCAGTATTGATATCAATATTTAGCCAGCTGTAAA